TGTTAGTACCAGTACATTCATGTAGTGTGAAACTCAGAATTCAAATAAAGTTTGAAAGACTTTTTAAAAATGGCCCTGATTGTGTGAGATAAATTTAGGGAAAATTGACCCTATGTCTTTGCTCATAGTACACAGCCTAAACTAACTGAACAAATGTCTTGTTAGGACTTTTTGTGTGTGTTGTTGGAAATTGACTAGTATGCATGTTGCGTATTGCATGTTGCGTGTTGCATGTTGCATGTTGCGTGTTGCGTTTTGCATGATCTTCGATTATTTCTTTTACATTTTTTGTAAAATCGGAAGAATTTTAAATTTGGATATACAAAATATGTAAAAAAAAATTATCAGTCATCGTATATTCACCCTTATGTCTTTGACATACATCATGGAGTCTGCACTTTTATCAATATCTTTTTTTTAATTAAAGTTTAAAATACTGTCATTGAGCTCAAGTTTGTAAACTATTATATCTTATCTCTAATATGTATTTAATTGCTGACAATAATTTGCTTTTTTCAGGAGTGTTGAGATAACTAAATAATTAAAGACTGAAAATTATCAGTACTTAGAGAGGTCCTCATGCCACCCATCCTTTACTTTCAGAGGCATAATTAAAGGAGAAGTGCTTTGCTTTAAGAGATGTACGAACGATCCAGTAGATTTGCAAACAAAATATGCGTTATTTTCTGAACGCCTTATTAAAAGGGGATATCCAAAAAATGAAATTAAAACTGTTATGCAGGAAGTGACTGCAAAACAAAGAAATGACACATTAATGGTAAAACCCAAATCTGTATTACAGTCGCCTCCCTTGATATTTTCTACAGGGTTTTCAAGACAGAAATCACACATAAAGAACAATATCTTAAAACACTGGGATAAATTAAAGGATGACGAAGAGGCAAAACTTTTATTTGATAAAAGACCTCTTTTTGCTTTTCGTAGGCATAAAACTTGAAAGCAATAGTAACATCAGCAACTCTGGGTAATTAACATGTTGCAGATTATGAAAATAGATTTTATACCATATTTGTTAAATTGATAAACATGGTTAAAAAGAAAAAGAGTATAGAAAAGTATTAGTCAAACAGATCACAAGGTGTCGAGCCCCTAATAAAAATTACAGTATTTTTATATTAAGTGTCACTATGCAATGGCTTGGGCTCCTGACGATGGACATGGCCATGGTCAATTAGTTAATTCTTATTGGTCTAAATAGATGTTCGAAACACCTTGTGATCTATGGAGTTGGGGTGCTGGGATAGGATTTGACAACGATTAATTGAAATACAGATTAGAAAAATGAAGCAGGCCTGTCCTCCTTTCGGAAAAATTGGATCCGCCTCTGATTAGCTATCCCCGTTTGATACGCCTATGCTAATGAATGTGTCTCTTTTTAACTATGAATTTGTATATATGATCAAACTTGTAGATAACAAAAATGTATATATGAAATTTGAATCAATTCAATTCAATATTTTATTTAAGTCTCATCTCTCTCAACAAGTATAATACAGTTATAAAACTAACAATGCAGCATCATATTATGAGTATAATATACATTAAAACAAATCAAAACTATTGATGTTTATTGAATGCTCACAGTGCTTCATCTTTTTATACCAGTTTTAAAAAAGAAATTAAGGAATTTAAGATATAAACAAAAAACAGCTGCGCCATGAGCGCATGATACGCCCGTCGTCTTGTGTGTGAATTTTTATGCAATAAGCATAAATAGTTTCTGACATACGGCGTGACATGCGAAAACCCCCCTTTTTTTTTACAAAAAACTCAATATCTCTAAAATAAAATTTTGAATCAAAACCAAAAAGTATACAGATCTTTAGATTAATATAACTAAGAAGTGTGTAAAATTTTAAGCAATAATCATAAATCGTTTTTGAGATACGGCGCGACATGTGAAAACCTCCCTTTAAAAAAAAAAAAATCAATATCTCAAAAATAAAATTTTGAATCAAAACCAAAAAGTATACAGATCTTTAGATCAATATAACTAAGAAGTGTGTAAAATTTTAAGCAATAATCATAAATCGTTGTCAAGTTTCATGAAATTTGGATAAGTCATTCTCAAGTTACGGTGCGACATGTTTACGCCGGACAGACAGACGGACAGACGGACAGACAGACGGACGGACAGACGGACGGACACCAGACATTTGTATACCATAATACGTCCCGTCAAAAATTGACGGGCGTATAAAAATTCAATAAAAAATACTGTAAATAGATGTTAACATAGATACGTAAATATGTATTCTTTTTATGAAATCATAATAATGAGTGGCAACTTATTGCTTTCTGAAAGATGAACTTAATAAAATAACTATTTTTATACAGTTTTTCATCATTCAGAATAAAATCCTTGTTGTAAGCAAATTTGAATTTTCCAAAAATAACTATTAAACATTGCTAATTATCTATTAGAATATACACCAAATAAGAAGGAACTGGCAGGAGATATCCAAATGGACAAATAAATCGTATAAAGTAGACTTTTTAATAGTAAAGCATTTGTTCAAACATACATGTTTGAAAATATATATCAGCTGTGTTTGAATCCAGACTGCATTCTTAAAATGTTTTTTTTTATATTTGTATAAACGAATAATACTTCTGATATTATAAATGATCTGATATGTACCAATATTACAAAAATAAGAGACATTAAGGTTGATATTCTCATGATTTAACAACAGGTAATTTAAAACAAAAGTTAAATCTTGGGTTAATTCGAGCAAACCTATGTACCTTTAGCTTGATTGTTTATTTATTTTAGCAGGAATATAAAAATCTCTATGTTGAGAGAAAATCTCTGTCATTGAAAATAATTAAAAGGTCATAAAATTCTATCAAATTATCCCATATCATCTAATTAATACTATAGATCAGTCTCCAGAATCCAAGTTTTGATGACTTTTGTTGATAGGTTAATTATAAATTTCAAATAAATTGAAGGATACACTATGTCAATAGATAGTTTCATGTTTGGTCCATTTATTACCAAGAATAATATAGTGCAGAACAAATTTGACTCATATACATTTAGTTATAACATAAACCTAAACATTGAACCTCATGTAAATTTAACAAATGAATATTCAAAATTTTTAGCCTTTATTTTTCAGATTATGTTACTTTTTAAATTTACAGACACTGGTAAAAACATAAAATACATAAATTTGTTCTCATGATAATTAATTAACCACCCTTAAAAATCAAACCACCATTCATCTAACATGCAATGAAGGTATTGTAATATAATTTTGAATGACATCATTGAAACAGAAATCAAACAACAACAAACAAAAAAGAAAGACCCTAATGTACAAAAAAAAATGTCATTTAACTTTATCCTTTAAGTCAACATACAACACGCAACACGAAACTCATAACACGCAACATGCAACACGCAACATGCAACATGCAACATGCAAAATAGCAGTACCCGTGTTGTTGTAAATAGAAGATTAAAGTTTGACTTTGATATCGGAAAATAATTGAAAAAAGCTCTTTTTATCTGTAAATGTATGAAATTCCTCCTTTTTATCGTTAATTATTGGACTGTCAATCCATTATTCAAACCAACATAATGCCATGCGCAAGGTGAAAATATTAAATATCTCATTTGGCAGATGTTTGGACAAAGTCTTCGCTGACTCCAACATTCATTAATTTTCCCACAAAGAACACGTTTCGCATTTGCACACACTTCTTGTGAAAAGACCCACTTTGGAGGGAAAGTATGGAAAATGATTTTCATTGAGAAGAAATCAATACAGCATGATTTTCTATTTTCTTTGTTGACATTTTCACCACATGTTACCACTGTCACATGGTCCTATCAAAATATGAAAGATTGCTGACAGATAAACACATGAATTTGATATTTCATATGCAGATTGTGTAAATTAAGTACAGTTTTAATTCTGGGTTATTGTGTAACCTTGTGTAACCTTGTGTAACCTTGTGTATACTTAGGGTAGCTTATTCATCAAGTCAAACTCCATTATTACATAGAAAATTTTCAGTGAACTATTAGTTACAAGGTGTCTCCAAGAGGCTTCCTGAATTAAGGTCTAGAATTGTATATAATGTTTATTTGATGCTATCTAAGTCACAGTTGTTGAAAGCCAAGTGGAATACTGCATTTTTGCCCCCCCCCCCTCATTTTCAAACCAAATAAATTTAGAAGGCAGCAAGGAAATATTAATATATTAAAGTATATATCTTATGATAACATTGACTTATTTACCACAGTAGAAAGTCTACTGTTCCAATTGTCAAATCATATATTGCTTGTTAAATATTTGAAAGAAAATCATGCACTCCTTGGCCCCCTAAACTCAAAAATATTATTCTCTGCCATCAATGATCTAAGTTTCTATATCCAATATTTATCTTAAAAAATGAAGTTAAAGGGTATATTTCTTTTGTAGGGTGCAATATGATGGGAAAATACTTGTTTGACTAATATAGATAACATATAAAAAATTGTTATTATAATAATGATTTATATTCATAGTATTCTAAGTTATTTATTTGATATATATATATATACAAAACATGAAGATTATAAAACTGATATACCAAATAAAAAATATGAATCTATTATCATATCATATCTTTAGTTTAAAATACAAACTTCATATATGTTTGATGGTAAATGTTGGGCATAGAAAGGATACAATGGAGGACCCTGTTCTATCTGTCAAAATATAACCACAACAATATTATTTTGACATGAAAATTTCATCAAAATGTCTTGTGGTAAAAACAAGATGCATTATTCTTCTTTATGGGTGTATAAAACTTGCATGGTTTCTCTAATCAAAATGTCTCGTAGTAAAAACAAAATGACGGATTTCTGCTTTATTGGTGTACTTAATGTACAAAACTTGCATGGTTTCTCTAATGAAAATGTCACATATTTATTATTGACAGGTGTTTTTATTTCTATAATTATTATTTTCTATTTGCAGGCTAAAGAGGGACGATGGACAAAGACGAGCCATTACTGTCCCATTGATCTGTATTCTGGGTGAGTGGACAGCAGACTTTGGCCAATGGCTAGGGCAATAAAATTGTCATTATTGTCTTGTGATAATGATCAGTGTACATAATAGGATCAAATTAGATCAGGGCTTCAGGGTAATAAAACTCCAAAATTTCTATTTCCTCAAGTAACATACCACTTTTGTGAAGCTAACAAAAAAGAATAGAAAGGTTCTGTTTCAAATTATGATGTATGTTATTTTATCAAGAGAAAATTGTTACAGATGTGTGCATAAGATATTTCCTTGCATTTATTTAAAAACTAGTTCACTCTGCATGTTATAAATTAAGACCTAGATTCAATGCATTCACCAGTTGTGATTTCTTTTGTGTGTTTTTTAATCCAAAAGGTTGCAAATACATTAATCATAGATTTTCTTAAGATCCAATATTTCTTATGTTCTTTTGTCCAAGTGCAGATCTCGGTCAGAACAGTAAGACCATAAGAATGTAATATAAAACCTGTTCTCCAAGTCCAATGTTTGTATACAAAAGTACTGTTAGAATACCTTTAAAATTGAGGCACATTAAAGGGAAATATCAATGAAAATAAAACATGTAAATGAAAGACATCACAAATTAAGATGACCCATTCAATATTGATTTGAAAATTAAAATTTAATCAAATTTAGAATAACAAATTTAATCTGTGTCATGACAGTTGATAGTGCTTTGTCAGTGTTTTTACAAATCAAATGGATTGACAGTGTTTTTATCTCTGAGGAAAGATATGATTAAAGCTTTGATATTTTGTACTTTCACTCTGACCGAAGTGCACCAGTCTTATAATCTGCCTGTCATTCATGTATATTTTTTACTAAATAGTACAGCTTTATTCTTTAACTAACTATTGTATCTTAAACTTACTATATTTAAGTTTAGTGGCAACTTTATGATTTATACAGAGATGACACAAATCAGGATTTTTGAAATATGACAACTCTAGGGTGTTAGGTTTTAGAAGGTAATGAAAGTTTATAGCACAAGGCAAGGTAGAAGAAACAATTTCATTATATTTTTGGAAAAGAAAAAGTATGAACAATCTCCCAACCAAAATTGTAGGGTAATTTTTGGTAAATGTAAAGTGATTTCTGCTGTTTAACAAAATTAAAAAGGGTTATTTATTATGCCAACAGAAAATAGTATATTAAATAAACAAAAATTAAAGAAATCCATGTCTGGACTCAGAAGTATTTTTCTCCTTTGTTAACCTCTCTTTGTTCAGTTGTTTTAAATGACCTTGAACTGTTTGAGTCAGCTGTTTGTAAATCAGGGAAAATGATACTTTAAATATAGTAACAAAACAAGAGAGTTGTTGGGGATTTTTCTGTAATTTTGGATTTCTTTTTTTTGCTGAAGTTTTAATTAAAGGATTCTTTGCACATCGTTTCATCGAGAATTTTATCAAGTTTTTTATTCAAGCTGTTTAGTTAATAAAAGATGTTCTTAAAAAGAGATATAAGTTTCATACAGTAATAAATGTAATAACTTTTTACACCTTTTAATAATAAAAGTAATTAGAATATAAATCAATGTATACTGTATACAGTAAGTAATTTTTTTAAGTCACAACATAAAGACTGTATATCATTTGTATATCAAAACTTCTTAGTTACATTTCATATTCCTTTTAAAAATAGGATTAAAAAGATAAAAACTGAATTAAAAAGTAAATTTCATTTACTCAATTTTAATGTTAATTTTCATGCAGATTATTCATTTGTTGTCATTGTTAATATCTTTGATTATTTTTAATTCTATAATTTGTTTATTTATTGCCAGTTTATAATTCATGAAAGGATTAAAAAAAATATATATATTGAATAAATAATATTATAACACCTATTAGGATCCTATTTAGATATATATTGATATTCTGTTAAACATGAAAAGATTATGAAATTGATATTTCCTTTGAAGGTGCGAAAAGTGAGAAAATTAATTTGCACCTTATAAAGGTGTTTATAAAGGTGCTTTCTAACAGATTTATTCAATACCTGCGTCATTGTTTCTGAAATAACAGCTTGAATGTTATAAAAAATAATCAAATCAATGTGTTGATCTTTACATACTTACAGTAGGTTATTTGTGATCATTTGACATGTTTACCTTTTTGTCAAGTCACAGTTTGAAAGTTACAAAAAGAAAAATAAGAATGATATCAAATAACAAAATAACATAGCAGAGTTTTCCCCTTGAATTAAAAAAGGTCATCATTTTGTTATACAGAATGGTAGTAGTTTTTGATTTTTGAAGGAAAGTTTGTTGGAATAAGCTGCTTTTTTCTTGGTTTTTGTCTTGCCTGGACAGAGTATAAAAGCAAGACATATGTATACTGTTTTCAGGGGCGGCATCAACAATGTATTAGTTTGTGATTAGGTCAGTTTATGGGAAACCACTAGTTGTAGGTCAATGATATCTGGTATGCAGTTGTATTAGCATTAGCACATCTCATTTCCATGGAACTCCAATCTTAATTGACTAGGATTGTCAGTTTTCCTATCGAAGGTCGTGGTTTTCATCGGGCACTCCGGCTTCCTCCACCAATAAAAACTGGCCACAAAGAAATAGCCCAAAAGCGGTGCTTAAAAGTGGCATTAAAACACCAAAAATAAAAAAATCAATCATTTCCTTGGAGATTGTTTGGCCCTATGCCTTCAGTCATGGTTCATTGACTTTGAATATTTTGCATAACTTACATGTTAAAGTATTGCTATTTTAATTTCAACATTTGCATTTTTCTATCAAAATAACAAAAAGGTGATACATATCTCTGTGTTAACAGTTTATTTTATTAGATAATTTGATATAACAATATACTAATGACATATCTTGTAGTTTCTAAGTAATTTATTCACATTTTTTAGACCAGAGAAAAATGAGAGCTTGATATATTGTATTGACACAGGTCTATTGTTGAACTGTATGTTGCCCTCAAGATATTAATTTATTTTTGTCATTGGGTTTCTGTCTCATTGATGTCTACTCTACATCTCCTTTCATTCATATTTATGAAAGCTTTCTTAGTTTTAGTTATTTTATCAATGATTGTGAAATAACAGCAGAACTTTACATGTTTGATCCTTGAAGTTCTTGGAGTATATTGTGAAGTCTGTAATCTGTGACAAATTTTGTTTGATCCTTGAAGTTCTTGGAATATATATATTGCAAAGTCTGTAATCGGTGACAAATTTTAATCTTGACAACAAGCCAGACAGCCATTCCTTACAATAGGATATACAGTAAAGTATGATTATCTGTGGGTTCTTAAGCTACATATACCTGTGGTTATTGTTAGTATGAATTAGACTGAAATAAACAGACATGTAATTCATGACAAATGACACGATTCATAATTATGTCAAGTGTTTATTATTAAGGTGCATGTCACTTCACAAAAACTCTTATTGAATAAGTGTTGTGTTTGACTCGTGGCCAAGATAGTATAATGACATATTGTACAGTTTTATTTACAGTACACCATGTTTAAGTTGTTCATCTATTATATACAGAAGAACTATCAGTATGAATTGGACTGTGTTTCAATATTCTTTGTTTATGTCAATGGTGTTGGTGTTTAGTTTAAGGAAATATCAGATGGATGAAAAGAAAACAATTTTTATATGAAATAACAGATATTTATGTATATCTCTTGATATTTTGTCCATTTTTCTGTCAAATGATTAGAGATACAATGTATAATTATGTGTATTTAACAAGATTTTTAACTTTGAATTTCTTATTTAACTTCTACAAATTCAATGGAAATAGCAAAATTCTTTAAAATTAAGTTTATTGTCCCATTAGTAGCTTGACTAAACATATCTTTCAGTGTTTTGACAAGCTTCCTTGCATCAAATTCACAACAAAAAAGATGATTTGAATGTGGTAGTCAAAATAACTAAGGGTGGGGCTGTTTAACTATGAAAAGAATTTGTCAACAGTATATCAGTATTACATCAGACATTTAAAATGTTTTACATGACCAGTATTCTGTAGCATCATTACATTATATATTTTTGCTGATCTCATTTTGAATCGTTTTGGGCCAGTGGGTGTATTTCCCAAAAAATAATGAATATTTGGAAATAAGATAAATCAGCATTATTTAAATTATTGCACAATTTATAATATTATATGCCCCCAGATATATTTTACTTGAGCTTGTAGTATTATTTTGTTACTTTTTCATCGATGTGAACAAAAAGACACATGAATATTAAATTTTATTTTATACAGTAGCTTTGTTCTGTTTTACATAGGTTTTATATTTAGAAAGGTTGTCCTTGAGCAGATGACTATTTTTATCCTACAGTATTCCAAAATTTTAAAAGAATTTTTTCATCACAAGTATTTTTAAAATAACAACCTTCTAGAATTATCTTTAGTTACAAGTACATAAAGGTTATCAGTCTTTTTATAAAGGTTATTTTTGACTGATGAAGATAAAATACTTGCCAAGCTGACTTGGGTCACGTAATGAAGCATCTAATGAGTTGTTGTGGATTGTTTCTTTAATTTATATACAAGTTATAAAAAAACTGTTGTTATACATTCATGTCTCATTCAGCATACATGTATAGAATAGAAAAATAGTCTCAACTCTCAACACACGTTTTGTTGTTAATAAAATGAAAATTGAAAACTAAATAGAGTATTTTAATACTTTCCAGTCCACTCATACATTTGCTCACAAATTTTGTTGTTAAAAAAGTGCAATTTACAAAAATTTGAGGAGTTGTCGATTGTTTTCCAAGTAACATTTAAAAATAAGTCAAGTAGTTATTGAAATATCTACTTATGGTTAGGAAAACTGTTAAAGTAGGTTTTGATATACAGATCCTTTTCTAGTTCATAATAACATCATTAACTACACTTAAAGAAAAAGAGAATTTATTGTTGAATCTATTATGATTTGATTCTACTCAAGGACAACAGTTTTACTTGTCTATATTTGTCACATGTACAACAGTGTGAAGAAATTTCCATGTACAATTTATTTTAAATTAATATTTAGTAGTTGTTATTAATATTTTGTTGTGAAGAAATCATTTGAAATGAGTAGCCTACAGGATCACTAAAAATAAAAAGTTTGTCCAGGTGGCTGGTTGTGTATTTTAATATAGGACTCATGTTTGGCTTGGTCATAGCTTTCATCTTTTTCTTCTTCATATGCATATGTACAGTTTTAACTTCATATTATTCCAAAATATGAACTTGCATGTAAATCCCCCTGAGTACCTTGTTGTATTCATTTATATGTTTTAAAATATAAGTAGGCCTTTACTGTTTAAAGTAAAGTTTAATCCAAATAAGACATAAACATTGTATTTATCAAACTGTTGTGAAATCAGTTGAGGCCAGTTGTAGATTTACTGTGATTCCCCTAAGTACCTTCAAACAATATAAGTATGAACTTTGGTACTTGCTGACCCTAGTGTTACTGTATCAATATTAATACACTGTATCAGCATAATGAACAGCTGTGCAGATTTTGACAGATGTAGATTTCTGTCACCAAACTCATGTAATTAATACCAAGATATTTTATATTTAGTATAATTTTTGTAGAGATTTGTTTAATTCTAATTCTGGATTGTTTACTAGTCACGAAAGGTTGATAACTATATTGACACTTGAGTATCAGATTAATTTGACCAACATCCTAGAGATTAATGATAAATTTCTCATATACTTTACCTCCTCAGCGATGTAAACATTTTCTAGTTAATCAAACTATGACCCTTTTGTCCAGAAATGGACCAACGATAAAATTTTAATTAAATATAATTGTATTTTGAAAGCAAAGTATTAAAGGTATACATAAACAGAGAGTTAACTATAGGTCAGAACAATTTATTATGACGTTTATCAACATATGCTGCCAAATGTAGATTCAAGAAATTTGTAATCTCAATACTGAGGGCGATTGACCGAACTGTGCTGAACAATAACATCTTGTACTTGAAGTAGTTTACGTAGGCGTCTTTACACAGCACTGTGTCACCTGTTTTTAAATAGACCGTTATGTTTAAAGGTGAGAGCAATGAATTTGTTATTGGCTCACGTTTTTCTGCGAGGAACATATCCTTATTTGTTGACGTGAGCAATTTAAACTGAATAATAGTTTTACTTGATGTTGATCGTAAGGCTTAAATAAAAGCCTAGTCTGAATAAAGGTTGTTTTTATCCTACACATCAATAAAAGAAGATTGGGATATACGTCAACGAGATAAAAACCTAATAACAAAAATAACCAAAAGACATGTTATAATTGGCTACACTAAACATCTCAACTTTTTTTTACATTTTTTTTGACTGGAGAAGTTATGGATATCATAATAAGGCATTGAAATTTTCTAGAACCTGTTCTATTGAAATAAATATATTATAGATACAATACATATCAACAAAGGACATTTTTTATTTAAAGTGGATTCTAACATTCAAAAGAGTATAGTGTGAAGTTGAGAAATATTTTTTTGTAAAGTTATATCTTTTCTTACTCATTGGTTAAAAGTTCATCCCTCAAATAAAGCCCTAATTTTTTTAATTTGTATAGCTTGTGTCTATATTTTTTAATATCAGTGTACAATATAAGTATAAATCTAACATGTAATGCTGGTTTTATTCATTGAATTCAAACAATTTGCATATTTCATAAAGTTTTTCAAGTTTCTTATACAAAATGATTGAAGATATTTTTACAACATTTAATTGTCTAAGATCTATTTCACATGTCTGAAACCCAACCATTATTTTGACAAAAACATATGTTTTGTACATATGTAGTAAGAATTATTTTTTTCATTTTTTCATAACTTAGAATAAACTTTGTTTGCATGAACTATTGTTCTGTCTGCAGGGTACAGTTTCTTGAACCATGTTTGTTTTCTAATCAGATTGTAAAGTTCAAAGGTTAACCTATTATTTGTATATCAAGTAAGGTCTCTGACATTTAGTGGTGCTACTGGCCTAATATTATATCTCAGTATTAAGTAAGGCCTGGGACATCCACATTCATGTATCATATAATTAAATCAATGTTATAACTAACCACTGGCCCTTAGGGCACCTGTACTAATAAACATTAATTAACCTAGGAGGAAAAAGGTTGACCCTACTTAACCTTTGCAATGTATAATATGCAGTAGGTCAGTTTCTGTCAGACTTTATGACAACAGAACATCCTGATTTATAAATAATATTTATCTATCATTTTATATGTGGTTAAACCATGTCAAAGGAGTTTTATTTATGCAGTATAAGTAATACCTTTGTTAAGAAATGAACACTGGAGGTCTATTTTATCTTTTCAATAACTATTTCAGTATTTCATACTAACTTTGAGTATGGGAGATTCTGGATTTGATCCCAACTTTAAAAATGGTGCTTTCTGCTTGTATGCAAAGAAAAAGCATCTTAAAACAAAGGCTGTTAGACTTGTAGTCAGAATATGTGTCTGGGTAAATATGTCTTCCTGCAGACTGTTCTGAGCTAGCTGTAGAACATTAAAATTCTGACTGCATGTTTTTCGTGGTTGCCTAGTACTTAAACAAGATATATTCATATGACATAAACATATTAATCATGAATATTCATCAATCTTTGCATCTGAACTTTAATCCATCAATTATCAATCTATTCTATGAGACAAGTAATAGTCTGACATTAAGAAAGACAAACTGTTTTATGGAAATACTCCCTTCAGCTAATGTTGTTGCTAAAAATTTAGATGGATAAATATTTATGAAAACATTTGAATCAAACAATGAAAAAATTCTTAGATTCTTAAAACTGGTGATTAGATGACAAGATATAAGAGATCTGAAACTTCTTGTTTTCTCAACCCAACTCCAACACTTCAAGGAAATCTTTTATCCCTAAAGACAAGATATAAGAGATCTGAAACTGCTTGTTTTCTCAACCCAACGGATGTGTAATGCTGTTTGTCCCAGCTGACCACCAAAATCAATCAATTTTATTCAAAAGTATTGATAGTAAATAAGGATGTTTATAGAATTATATTTTATATTCAGAAACAGAGACAGAATGAAGCATGCTCTGTATGCCATGTGTGAGACCCCACAGAATAATCTGAAAATGTGTATGGTAAGGAAGATAACTCTAGGAATACAAATTGAATTAATATTTGAGCATGCTACCTTAAATATATTGTCAAAGCAAAAGACAGATACTGTGATGAAGGCTATTACCTGTGATAAGATACTTTACTGTACATTTGTCTTCATGTATGTGGATTTTATACTATATAAAAATAAGAAGATGTGGTATGATTTCCAATGAGACAACTCAACTAGAGGCCATATGACTAGAAGTTAGCAACTATAGGTTTAAGTCATAGTAGTAAATGTGCTAGTCATTTCATTTGCTGTATTTGATTTTAATTGATGATTGAATGGAATTCCCATATCAATAGGCGCAATTTGGGTGTATAGATATAATTAATTTGAGAAAGTTTCTGTCTGACAGGAAATTGCTAAACTACCAACAATTAATCATTTTTAACTGTCCAAAGAAAGATAACTCTAGTTTATAAAGATTTCTTTCAAGCATATATACAGTCACATAAATTGAACATGATATAAAAATTTAAAAAAAAACATACAAATGAAATAATTTCTTTGTTTCTAAGTAGTTAAAATAGAAAGCTATATATGAGGGAATTTATTTTTAGCTCACCTGGCCTGAAGGGCCAAGTGAGCTTTTCTCATCACTTGGCGTCCGTCGTCGGCGTTAACTTTTTACATTTTGAACTTCTTCTAGAGAACCACTGAATGGAATGAAACCAAACATGGCATGAATGTTCCTTATGAGGTGCTGACCAAGTGTTGTTACTTTGTAGCGGATTCTTCATCCAAGATGGCCGCCAGCGGTGGACTTAGTTTAACATAGGACCCTATGGGAAATACATACAAATGTCTTCTTTTAGAGAACCACTGAATGGAATGAAACCAAACATGGCATGAATGTTCCTTATGAGGTGCTGACCAATTGTTGTTACTTTGTAGCGGATCCATCATCCAAGATGGCCGCCAGCGGTGGACTTAGTTTAACATAGGACCTATGGGAAATACATACAAATGTCTTCTTTTAGAGAACCACTGAATGGAATGAAACCAAACATGGCATGAATGCTTCTTATGAGGTGCTGACAGAGTGTTGTTACTTTGTAGCGGATCCATAATCCAAGACGGACGCCAGCAGGGGACTTAGTTTAACATAGGACCCTATGGGAAATACATACAAATGTCTTCTTTTAGAGAACCACTGAATGGAATGAAACCAAACATGGTATGAATGTTCCTTATGAGGTGCTGACCAAGTGTTGTTACTTTGTAGCGGATCCATTATCCAAGATGGCCGCCAGCGGTGGACTTAGTTTAACATAGGACCCTATGGGAAATACATACAAATGTCTTCTTTTAGAGAACCACTGAATGGAATGAAACCAAACATGGCACGAATGTTCCTTATGAGGTGCTGACCAAGTGTTGTTACTTTGTAGCGGATCCATCATCCAAGATGGCCGCCAGCGGTGGACTTAGTTTAACATAGGACCCTATGGGAAATACATACAAATGTCTTCTTTTAGAGAACCACTGAATGGAATAAAACCAAACATGGCATGAATGTTTCTTATGAGGTGCTGACCGAGTGTTGTTACTTTGAAGCCGATCCATAATCCAAGATGGCCGCCAGCGGGGGACTTAGTTTAACATGGGACCCTATGGGAAATACATACAAAGGTCTTCTTTTAGAGAACCACTGAATGGAATGAAACCAAACATGGTATGAATGTTCCTTATGAGGTGCTGACCGAGTGTTGTTACTTTGAAGCCGATCCATAATCCAAGATGGCCGCCAGCGGGGGACTTAGTTTAACATAGGACCTATGGGAAATACATACAAAGGTCTTCTTTTAGAGAACCACTGAATGGAATGAAACCAAACATGGTATGAATTTTCCTTATGAGGTGCTGACCGAGTGTTGTTACTTTGAAGCCGATCCATAATCCAAGATGGCCGCCAGCGGGGGACTTAGTTTAACATGGGACCCTATGGGAAATACATACAAAGGTCTTCTTTTAGAGAACCACTGAATGGAATGAAACCAAACATGGCATGAATGTTTCTTATGAGGTGCTGACCAAGTGTTGTTACTTTGAAGCCGATCCATAATCCAAGATGGCCGCCTGCAGGGGACTTAGTTTAATATGGGACCCTATGAGAAATACATACAAATGTCTTCTTTTAGAGAACCACTGAATGGAATGAAACCAAACATGGCATGAATGTTCCTTATGAGGTGCTGACCGAGTGTTGTTACTTTGAAGCCAATCCATAATCCAAGATGGCCGCCAGCGGGGGACTTAGTTTAACATGGGACCCTATGGGAAATACATACAAACGTCTTCTTTTAGAGAACCACTGAATGGAATGAAACCAAACATGGCAAGAATGTTCCTTATGAGGTGCTGACCAAGTGTTGTTACTTTGAAGCTGATCCATTATCCAAGATGGCAGCCAGCGGGGGACTTAGTTTAACATAGGACCCTATGGGAAATACATACAAATGTCTTCTTTTAGAGAACCACTGAATGCAATGAAACCAAACATGGCATGAATGTTCCTTATGAGGTGCTGACCAAGTGTTGTTACTATGAAGCCGATCCATAATCTAAGATGGCCGTCAGCAGAGGACTTAATTTAACATAGGACCCTATGAGAAATACGTACAAATGTTTTCTTTTAGAGAACCATTGAATGGAATGAAACCAAACATGGCATGCATGTTCCTTTTGAGGTGCTGACCAAGTGTTGTTACTTTGAAGCTGATCCTTCATCCATGATGGCCGCCAATGGGGGGACTTCCTTTAACATAAGACCCTATGGGAAATACATACAAATGCTTCTTCTAGAGGTGCACTGAATGGAATGAAACCAAAACATGGCATAAATGTTTCTTATGAGGTGCTGATTAAGTGTTGCTACTTTGTTGCCGATTTACTGTTCCAGATTGCCACCAGGATTTTTTTATTAAATTACAGGACCAATATTAAACCAAATTTGGCCTCACTCATTATTAAGGTATCTGTTATGATTTTAATCTATTTTTACATGATTTCCAAAACCAAAGTAGAATCAGGTGAGCGACACAGGCTCTTGAGAGCCTCTAGTTAAATATAGATATGTAAAATGAAATGAAATGCATGTGAATTTAAATATTATAAGTCAAATTTTCTCTGAGAAAAAAATCTCAACTTGTTGAAGAATATAAAACATCTTCATTTGTCTTTATTCAAGTTAATAAATTATCTTTGTTTAGTGTTCTGAGATAAGAATATTTCTTTGAAATATATTAAAGTAATTTTTCATACCAAGGCAATGTTGATTTTTCCTGAATTATTAGTTTTACATTTATATCAACATAACATCCAGTTTTAATAATGTTAAAAATGTAATTAAATATTGTTTATAATTATCAGACCTGTAGTAGGAAATGCCAAACACACATTCATAATTTGGTAGTATGCACAATTGTTATAGCTGATTGATTGTAAACATGGGTTAGCTTATACACAAATAAGATATTATTGGCCAATAGTGTTGCTGTCTCATGACCTTTACTGGATATCTCCCTTTATTCATAATTTCAAAAGTAAAGATAAGTGTAAAAGTAGGCTTCTCTGTTTTAGAATGGTGATGAAGTATATGGAAAAAACGTAGAGCAGGATCTGAGAGCAGTTCTGAAGGAATTCTTTGGTGATAGAAATACAAATGGAATCAAAAAGCAGTTGTAAGTAAAGGGAGGGAACAAGAGATGAACTACAAGAAATTATTAATTGACAATATGCTGTATAAACCTTTATTAAGTGTATACTTTAGATGTTTAACCTGACACTTTCGACTCATTGCAACTATTTTAGACTCTTGAAGATATAATGTAAAAAGTAAATCTGGGGAATTTCGTTTTTATTATTTCTTAAAATAGAATTATCAGTGGTTTGATGATTTTGTCAGTATAAGTTGTTTTATACCTTCTTTTGGGGTATCTTCAGTACATAATCAAATGAAAATAAATTTGATATTGGTCGTAGCGAAGAATTTAATCAAACTAAATAGCCAGTCCTTATGTAATTGAGGACTAAGTGAAATAAGAATCAAGGGGATTAACACCAATGTTTATCATTTAAACAAATAAGGAGATTTGGTATGATTCATTGCCATTGAAATAGTAGTCCAACAAAAACCAAATAACATTGATGTAGGCAAAACCCATACTGTATAATCTATAAAATGCCACAGGATAATTTTTTTATTGTAATTTAGGAGACTATGGGGGCTTAATGTTGGAAATTTGTTCAGTGAGTGTCCTAGTTCATGATCACATTGCTTATTAAACACGTATACAATTATGTATAGGGAAAATGTACCATGTATCAATGTATACTCCTCAGAGGGCATTAATTCTGTACTTTGATTAATGGAAAATGTACATTTATTTTACAGAATTTTGTCAGAATTCCTAGATCTGATATTAGATGCATTGTTATATGTTCCTGTGCTGACCAATGGACACTCATCAGATAACCAATCAGATTCTACTCCATCTAATGGATCAGAAACTCATCAAGGTCCCTTATGTAGTCATAAAAAAGAATACTCATTGAAACCTCATCCTCCCGATGGTCTCTCACAAACCTCCAACAGTCCAGTTGTAAACGGGCATACCCACCAATCATGCCAAAAGTGTTCACAAAGTTCTTATCATTTATTTGATGATGAAAGTAAGTTCACTTTATAAGAGTGTCAAGAATAAATAGGCTTAAGCAATGCGGGATCATACCTGTTCAATGGACAATTATATTTCATTATTGAATAGGTCAAAGAAAAGATTAAATGGAGAGAATTTTTCATTCTTACATTATGGTCTAGTGCTTGTGGTTGTACTGTAAATGACTTTTAAGAAATTTCATTTCCAAACATAGAAATTATGCTTTATGATAGTAGATTGTAACTGTGTCACAACAATGGTTGATGTGGGTATTTCTTCAGTTTTTCTACAGGCCATGTGGTTAATATATATATCTTGAATTTCTGAAAATTAAATGTGACGTCCTGCATAGGTAAAATTTTCAGTCTTTTGAAAATTTTCAGTCTTATATTTCTTAATACACCATTAAACCAATGTTTTTCCCTGTTAATTTTTTTTGCTTATTTATGAGAGAATTGAATTTGATGTTTTGTTTCAACATATTTGGTTCTATTCTGTCAAATGCTGTTTAGTTTTAAGACTGACTAAATGCAGTTTAAGTTAATTTTGACAAGATTTCACATTATGGTCTCTCAGTGATAGTTATCTTTCTTGTGAAAAAGAAAAGAATACTGATTAAGAATTAATGATGGTAAAAAGATTTTGGAGCATTTTCTTAATAACTTTATGTCAAATCTTTTTTATACATGGCACCAAATTTCTTCGTGTATACCATAATGTATGAAACAGTTTAAGTTTTTTAGATGTTATACTTCATAATTGCCAAATGTTCTTGCAAAATTTGATTGCTACATGTATTTAATGCAAAACACCAACATTGAAAAAAAATGTAAAAATTATGAAAAATTAATTCAGCCTGCATGAAGCTCAAAATTGCTGTTGCAATCCAGTGAATTATCATGTATTGTCTCATAAAAATCTCCAGTGAATTATCATGTATTGTCTCATCAAAATCTCCAGTGAATTATGTATTGTCTCATCAAAATCTCCAGTGAATCATGTATTGTCTCATCAAAATCTCCAGTGAATTATGTATTGTCTCATCAAATCTCCAGTGAATTATGTATTGTCTCATCAAATCTCCAGTGAATTATGTATTGTCTCATCAAAATCTCCAGTGAATTATGTATTGTCTCATCAAAATCTCCAGTGAATAATGTATTGTCTCATCAAAATCTCCAGTGAATTATGTATTGTCTCATCAAATCTTCAGTGAATTATCATGTATTGTCTCGTCAAATCTCCAGTGAATTATGTATTGTCTCATCAAATCTCCAGTGAATTATGTATTGTCTCATCAAATCTCCAGTGAATTATCATGTATTGTCTCATCAAATCTCCAGTGAATTATCATGTATTGTCTCCTCAAATCTCCAGTGAATTATGTATTGTCTCATCAAATCTCCAGTGAATTATGTATTGTTACATCAAAATCTCCAGTGAATTATGTATTGTCTCATCAAAATCTCCAGTGAATTATGTATTGTCTCATCAAATCTCCAGTGAATTATGTATTGTCTCATCAAATCTCCAGTGAATTATCATGTATTGTCTCATCAAATCTCCAGTAAATTATGTATTGTCTCATCAAATCTCCAGTGAATTATGTATTGTCTCATCAAATCTCACGTGAATTATCATGTATTGTCTCATCAAATCTCCAGTGAATTATGTATTGTCTCATCAAATCTCCAGTGAATTATGTATTGTCTCATCAAATCTCCAGTGAATTATGTATTGTCTCATCAAATCTTTAGTGAATTATCATGTATTGTCTCATCAAATCTCCAGTGAATTATGTATTGTCTCATCAAATCTCCAGTGAATTATGTATTGTCTCATCAAATCTCCAGTGAATTATGTATTGTCTCATCAAATCTCCAGTGAATTATCATGTATTGTCTCATCAAAATCTTAGTTGTGGTTAACAGCAAACAGATTAGGCATTCTGGACAAGTCTCAAATGTCCACCTATTTCAAAGCCCAACTCAAATATATTATATAGTCCTTGATAATGTATTGTAATTCCATATGTATTTCTAGAACTCTGTATGCCATTGACACTCAGTTGCAGGGCATAAAGTTTAGTCCATATATATTCTTGATTATTCCGTTATATACAAACTCCCAACATTTGTTTTTAGATTATTTTTATAGTTATGCCTTATTAGTGTGTAATGGTTAGTTTCAGATATTGTTTCCTTCCTGATGACCCATCTTTCTTACAGTTATTGAGTCCTTCTGTCATTGGGCATGAGAGGCATTGGTGGCATCTCAACACATCGGTTTTTTGGGGTAAAAATTGCACAAATTATAATAGAACCTCAGTAGCTACTGAACTGTTATCTATATTTCAACTATACCTTATTCTCCCATGTAGGTTACACTTATAATCCAACTATGAGCTTAAAGCTGATATTGTTTATTTAGACTGTTGATAAATAACAGTGTAGTTTACAGGGAACTAGTACTAGTCCCATGGAAAGAAATTAACTTGTGTCAGAATTCAATTTCAGAGAGTAGATATTCAGAACTTTTAACTTGATTTGTAGAATTTGATATATATGTATATTTCATTGAATACAAACCTTCATATTTATTTTTAGCTTATATAAACTTTCAAATAAGTAGATTTTATTGCATATAAACCATCCTACTTGTAGATCTTATTAAATTTTAACTTTTCTACTTGTAGATTTTAACCTACCACATAATTGTATATTAGGACAAGTTTTAGCAGTACAATCTTTAGACAAATTAGATATAGAATGTGTATATCCCTTGTTTCTCAAGGTCAAGGAACATTTAATACAACATCCAAATGATGGGTAAGAATGGACAAATTAACTTGTTTGTACTGAGTAAAATTTAGCAACATACTTTATATTAATTATAGAATAACAGGTGTGAGGTTTAATTATCCATCCTAATTTTTAAAGGCAGTGCTTTAATGCCTTTCTAGTTGCCGGGTTAATCCTTCCTTCCGCGATATCCAACTTATCTACGTGGGGGGTCATTAGACTCCAAGTAGATCCGGAAATGTTGAATTCTCTCCTCTTCTTATTGCGATATAAAATGTTTTTTGTTTCATTTCATTTACATTGGGAAATAGAGAAACGATCATTGTGTTTTGTTAGTTTTAAAAACTTTTGATATATTAGTATTTTGCATTATAAGCAGTCAACCGATTGACAAACTAGAATTATTTGAATTCCGTGTGGAAAGAGCTCGGGTTAATTTCGAGTGTTATCTGCAATCTAGATGTTTATAAATCATTTCAGTCGTTGATATAATAATTAAAGGTCGACTGAACATGAATTATATTATACAATTTAAAGCGCATTTCTGTTTATGCACGTGAACCCGTCTAACGTTATTTTCGCAGTTATATAAAGTAGCAAATTATCGTTCCTGAATAGGTGGCGCCGTGGTAGCGGATCCTGTTCCTCTACTTCCGGTTTCTGCACTGTGCAACTATTTCAGTTATATTTTTAATTAACGATGCCAAGTACTTGTTGTTGTGTACCTGGATGTCATTTAAGAGGAGGACATGCATTTCCAAATGACTTAAAAAGAAGGAAAAGTTGGATCAACGCCATGGCCCATACGCAGATTGGACGAGAACACGATGATATCGTGGAGTCCATCTCAATCAGCTGTTGTTTGCAAGGCACGTTTTACTGAAAAAGACTACGTGCAGGAAACTATTCATGGTAAAACTCTATTTTCCTTGTGAAATATATAGTTATATATGTAATCGCCATGCGAATAAACCAAAGTCTGTTTACAACCGCAATTATCGTTTTAGAATAAAAGGGGGTGGGTAATTCAAGACGTCATAATTTTTTGGATTACGATTCAATGTGATCTGTTTGAGATTTTTTGGTGATTGCTACAATTATAATGATTTTTTACAAGAGGTATATCATACTGAGAATTATTTTAGCAGTAATTATGCTAATGTAGTAATGACAGGAATGCATAAGCTATGCCTCATAGACTTTCTTGAAAAATATCAATGACAATGTTAACAGGAACAAAACAATGACATGCTCTCATCTATATTATAGTTATTTAGGTACAAACAATGTACGTTTGTTGCATAAGTCTCTCATTGTTTGTCCTTTGGATTGACATAACATACATTGAATCAGGCAAACATAGTTTTATCCAGATTGTAATGAATAAATCTAGTTAATATTTCGCCAGGTAGTACAAAGTATACATTGCTAATGGAATTTCATTTAATTATAAAAAAAACTAATGTTTTATAACCTTTTTCAGGGCGCAAACCCACCATACAGAGACTTAAGTCTACTGCAATTCCCAGCCTATTTTCCTGGACCAAGCAAGAGACTGAATCGTCCACAAAAAGAAAAATCAGGGAAGTTTCCTGTGAAAACAAAAGAACTAAACTTGATGAATATTGTAGTAGAAATCTAGAGGAAAGTTTTGATTGTAAAGTTGGTTTTCCTGAAGAAGTCATTCATACTGCAGAAAGGATTTATGACTGTCCACCACCAACTGCCGAGCTAATGTTGAGCTTCACAGATGGAATTACGCAAACACCATCAATGCCTATGTTTTCAGCAGAGAATTTTGAAATGAAGACACGTGACACAGCCATGCATTTTTATACCGGTTTAGAGTTGTATACTAAATTTTTATTTGTTTTGACCACACTTGGTCCAGCAGCACATTGTTTGAGATACATATATTTTCAAATTGATAGGGTGTCAGTTGAAAATCAGTTTTTTTATGACTTTGATGAAATTGAGGCATCATACAACCAACTTTGAACTGTCTAGATTCTAGATTGAATCTAGTGTTAAGAATATTGTGTATACATGGATTGTTTTTATGTCTAAACAGTGGTGTGAGGCTAACACTTGGCCATCTAGTGGTTTAGTCAGGTATTTTTCACCATCCAACTTCAAATTAAAGTTTCCTACGACTTGGATTATTATTGACAGCACAGAATATCCCGTGATAAAACCTAAAGCTCCTAGAGCTCAGGCAACCTTTTCATCAAATAAAAACAGAAACACTGAAAATTCTTGAATGTTCGACACCTGGTGGTTTAGTCAACTATGTCTCTATGTCACATAGAGCGAATTATTGGACTTGGCAAAACATACAAAATTCTAATAAATCCTATGAATGGAACTGAAACAAAACTTTCATCTGAAATAACATTTAGTTGTTTTATGTTGTGTAATTTTAGAACTTGTATTGTGCCAAAGGATGCATAAATAAAAGTGACGCAATGAATTTTGTTCTGATATATATATATTTACAATTACATGCACATGTAAATTGTAATGCATATAAAAATAAGGAGATGTGGTATGATATTCAGTGAGTTTATCAAACTAAAGTGCATAAGAAATGGGTTTAAGCAGTTACAGGTGTTACTGTCACCGTACAATCTCCAACAATGAGAAAAACTCGTACCCTGTAAAAAATTTCAGAGATCTTACAACTAAGTTTTGTTGTCTCACCTTGACTTTGGTGAATTTTTTATATCTGTTGATGTAAATATAAAAAAGAAGATGTGGTATGATTGCCAATGAGACAACTCTCCACACATGCACAAGAGACCAAATGACACAGAAATTAACAGCTATAGGTCACAGTACGGCCTTCAACAATGAGCAAAGCCCATACCGCACAGTCAGCTATAAAAGGCCCAGAAATGACAATGTAAAACAATTCAAACAAGAAAACTAACGGCCTATTTTATGTAAAAAAATGAACAAATATAACAAATATGCAACACATAAACAAACGACAACCTCTGAATTACACTTTTATAGGCTCCTGACTTGGGACAGGCACATACATGTACAAACAGAATGTGGCGGGCTTAAACATGTTAGCGGGATCCCAACCCTCCCCTAACCTGGGACAGTGGTGTAACAGTACAATATAAGAAAGAACTATAAAAATCAGTTGAAAGAGGCTAAACTCATCAGATGGATAAATACAAATACAAGTGGACGTGGTCGGGTAGTTGTACATCCAAACAACAAAAAGACACTAAGTACAAATCTGAGAGTACTCGCAGTTACTGACAGCTAGTTCAAAGCCACTAACAACTGATAAAAAAATCTTGCATCTAAGACTAAATAATCAATCCGTAAGCTCCCTTTAGAATTTTATAAATTTTAGATTTTACATTTCTGAGTTATGGGGTTTTATTCATTAAAAAAGGGGGGATTTTCCAGTCTTTGGACAACAACTCAAAAATGCTTTAAGCAGTTCACATGAAACCGTGGTGAATTATTTATAGCTATTGATGTAATCTCCCTATTGATTTTCATCAATTTCAAATATGACATTGAGAAGAAATTGAACTTTATTTGTTTATAGTCTGGCAACAGATTTATTAAGTATTGCACAACAGCACAGTGTATTGCACAACAGCAAGAAATCTTTAATTGAATATAAATTCAATTCATATAACCGATTTCAAGTTCATTGACTACATTTATTCAGAAACTATAATATGTCAAATATTTAATTACAATCCAAATTCAGACCTGTATCAAGCTTGAATATTGTGTCCATTTTTGCCCCAGCTGTTCAGGGTAGTACCTCTGCGGGTGTATCCAGCTCTGCTCAGCGAATCAGTTTATTTCTTAATTAAGAACTCCTTTTTATATGACCGCAAAAAAATTTTTGTGGTCGTATATTGGTATGACGTTGGCGTCGTCGTCGTCGTCCGAAGACACATTAGTTTTCGCACTCTAACTTTAGTTTAAGTGAATGGATCTCAATGAAATTTTAAAATAAGGTTCAATACCACAAAAGGAAAGTGGAGATTGATTTTGGGGGTTATGGTACCAACAGTTAAGGAATTAGGGGCCAAAAATAAGCATTTTTGTAACTTCCAGACATAACTTGTGTGTAAGTGTATGGATCTCTCTGACATTGTACCACAAGGTTCCATATCACAAAGGGAATGCTGGGATTGATTTTTGGGGGTAATTGCCTCCAAATTTTAGGAATTAGGGGCCAAAAAGGGGCAAAAAACAAGCATTTTTCTAGTTTCATGACAATAACTTGTGTGCAAGTCTATGGATCTCTCTGACATTGTATCACAAGGTTCCATATCACAAAGGGAATGCTGGGATTGAATTTGGTGGTAATTGCCTCCAAATTTTAGGAATTAGGGGCCAAAAAGGGGCACAAAACAAGCATTTTTCTAGTTTCATGGCAATAACTTGTGTGTAAGTGTATGGATCTTTATGAAATTGTACTACAAGGTTCCATATCACAAAGGGAAAGCTGGAATTGAGTTTGGGGGTAATTGCCCAAAAAGTTTAGGAATAAGGGGCCAAAAATAAGCATTTTTCTAGTTTCCAGACAATAACTTGTGTTCAAGTGTATGGATCTCTCTGAAATTGTACTGCAAGGTACCATACCACAAAGGGAATGCTGAGATTGATTTTGAGGGTAATTGCCTCCAAATTTTAGGAATTAGGGGCCAAAAAGGGGCAAAAAACAAGCATTTTTCTAGTTTCATGACAATAACTTGTGTGTAAGTCTATGGATCTCTCTGACATTGTATCACATGGTTCCATATCACAAAGGGAATGCTGGGATTGATTTTGGGGGTAATTGCCTCCAAATTTTAGGAATTAGGGGCCAAAAAGGGGCAAAAAACAAGCATTTTTCTAGTTTCATGGCAATAACTTGTGTGTAAGTGTATGGATCTTTATCAAATTGTACTACAAGGTTCCATATCACAAAGGGAAAGCTGGGTTTGAGTTTGGGGGTAATTGCCCTAAACGTTTAGGAATTTGGGACCAAAAAGGGGCCAAAAAACAAGCATTTTTCTAGTTTCCAGACAATAACTTGTGTTCAAGTGTATGGATCTCTCTGAAATTGTACTGCAAGGTACCATACCACAAAGGGAAGGCTGGGATTGAGTTTTGGGGTGATGAATCATAAGGGGGTTCAAAAAATTTGGGGGGGGGGATTCTTTTTCCTTTTTTTTCTTTAAAATTTTCCATTTTAAATTGGTTATTTCTGATTTATATATAAAAGCAAATAATAATGATATGGTTTGAATAGGTAAATTAAATTTTTTTAAGTATCTTAGACCACTTTCATTCTGTGTCAGAAACCTATGCTGTGTCAAATATTTAATTACAATCCAAATTCAGTGCTGAATCAAGCTTGAATGTTGTGTTCATACTTGCCCCAACTGTTCAGGGTTCGACCTCTGCGGTCGTATCAAGCTGCGCCCCAGCGGAGCATTTTATTTCATTCATAAATTACTTTATGCTTGGAAATATAATTTTGCTTGGAGTTGAAAGAGTTGACATGTTGCAATGTACATTTACTCTACATAGTTCTATGGTACCAAATCAAAAGTTTATATAAAGAAAGAAGTCAAAGGTTTCCTATCATAGTTTAGTTACATACATTTTTTTTGTACCTGAGGTCGTTGAATATAGATCATTATATAAATAAGGAGATGTGTTATGATTGCCAATGAAAAAACTAAGGATTTTCTTATCCAAGGAATAGATTACCTTAGCCGTATTTGGCACAACTTTTTGTAATTTTGGGTCCTCAATGCTCTTCAACTTTGTACTTGTTTGGCTTTGTTACTATTTTGATCTGAACGTCACTGATGAGTCTTATGTAGACGAAACACACGTCTGGCGTATTAAATTATAATCCTGGTACCTTTGATAACTAATTTGACTATAAACATAGATAAAAAAGGTACAAACTGGACATAATGCACTAGTTCATAAACAAGTGAGAACAATCGCCTTCATATAGTGCTCAGAATATGACATTCATAAAACTTATTCAGTATCATTAGAGAACTCTAAATCTTAAATACTGAAAGCCACCTGTACTATGCAAGATAATGATATAACTGGACTTAAAATACACACAACCTGTAATTAACTGCCTTTACAGCGCTTTCGTGCTTTGATTCAAAAATGCTTATCAATGATACCTTTATCTAACGTTCATTTCGAGTATTTTCCTGAAGAAATAACGTGGAAAGAGCTACTTAAACTCAGTCGTGCTTTGTAAACGTATACAGATTTTACGTATCCGTCTCTGGTCCATATTTTACCATTGTCAAGTCAACATCCGGTTTTAGAAAAAGGTGTTTTTTAAAATCGAAAGCGAAGTTGACGGCGTAATTTTTTCACAAATAAAGAGTCTAAGACAGATATTAGTACGCTGATGTTGCACACTTTGAATGATGTACTGTCAATTGAACAGATTACGTCAGAACATCAAATTTATATCAAAAGTCAAGTTTAAAATCGTTTTTGTGTCAATCATGATTGTTTATATGATACCCAACTGATTAAAATGCTTGCCTTTTGTTACTAAGCCTTAAGCGATTGAAATCAGGATAAGACAAAAAATGTTTTCGGCTGGCTCAAATATTTTTTGGAAGCCCTGGTTCAGTATAATGAATTAAATAACACATAGCTGAGAGAGTGATAGAGCAGATATTTACCCCTTGCCTCAGTTGACAATGTTTTCTCGGGGTAACAATCTACTCTATCACCCTCTAAGCTATGTGTTATTTATATAATGTTTAACATTGCTTGTGACTGTTTAATTTGAAAAAATCTGAATTAAAACAAACATTGAAAATTGTACTCAGTTACAGTTTCATATGGTTTGTGTTATAGTCAGTAAAAATTTAAAATTGTCACATTATATTTTCTACTCAAACAGAGATAAGTGGAGTCTATTTGGACCTTTTAAAGAAGAAACATGGCTACGACCATGTATAGACACTGTGATAGAAGATAGGGAATCTTTGGAATATGCTGTGGATATGGTAAGTCTGGGTTATAGATATACAGTATTACACAGGGAATCTCTGGAATATGCTGTGGATATGGTAAGTCTGGGTTATAAATATACAGTATTACACAGAGAATCTTTGGAATATGCTGTGGATATGGTAAGTCTGGGTTATAAATATACAGTATTACACATCTCTCTTTGTCCTCATATCTTCATTTCAGAGCGAGGCAATAGCTGAGGTCTTATATGGGTTTGGGGGATAACATTTAAACTAAAATGCATAACTATATGTTGTAATCACTTTATCATACTCCTACAATGCAAAATTCCTGGTTATCAGAACAAAAGTGAAATGTTATCAGTTTTATACAATGTTTTATTGAAAGGTAGAATTATTAATGGGCATTTTGCAATGACACATAAATTATCTACAAAAAGTCTGCATTTCCATAAAAGTTTTTTTTTCATCAACATCTACACCAGTGGTACTTAACTTGCTTGGACCATTGTTTTCTTAGAAATTTACCCCATACAGTCTGTGACCATTGAACTTGTCATCCATTATCATTTGGGAATCTGAACGTTGTAACAAATATCAAGGTTTTATTTCAAAGCAATTAAAGGATATTGATAGGTCTGCATTTTGAAGTATATCATGTTCATCCATGGATGAAGATAACGTGAGAAAAACACAAAACTAGGGTAACTTCATCAAATATACAAGTGCCTGCTGATTGTGGTTGGTATTAGTGTAAGAATTATTTTATCTCAACTTTAACCACACTTTGTTTAAGATAGCAATTTAGAGCTTGTCATACAGGGTTGTTGATAGATGGAAATAAAATTGTGACCTCTTGGTCTATCCTTTTTGTTATGATGTTGCTGTCTTTTATTGTACTTCTCATATTTTGTAGTTGAATTAATCGTAACAAATTAAACATGCATCAAATATTGAATTAAATGATTTTGTAGGTGAAGCGACACAATGTATCAAAAACCTTACAAGATTGTTCTTTAATGGTGGCATTACAGAGATTAGAAAGGTACTATAGATAATCAACTTAACATCATTTATTCATATCAATATTCATTGCACAAAATTTTCACCACACTGAAGACTATGCATGTCTTTATGACACTTCAAGAAGGTTGCCATATTTGTACAAAAATGTATCTAGACAAATAAAAAAATACTTTGAATACAAATTTCAGCCAATTATTTAATGTTCATGTACATACTTGTATATACATCATACTACATTTTCAACAAATATATGCATGATAAATAAATCTTATTGATAATCATACATCAGGACCATGTTTTGGTGAGAATATTGAAGATAATGATGACAGGAGAGTAAGAAATCCTCTTCTTTTACATGAATTGATAAAAATTGAAATTAAGATCATTTCAGTGGTTCTAAATTGTGATGACTGCTAATTGAACGATGGAGGGTCATTTGAATTTAGGAGGGGTGAAAATACATAATTCTTTCTGGCAAGAACAAAATGATTGCAATAACCAAAAAAAAATATGTCAAAAGGGCAGGTGAACAATTGAGGCTCTTCAGAAACCTCTAGTTTCAAATATGGTGGTTCCTGTTGACAAGATATTCATGATTTGTTTCAGGTCACCTGACTATAAAGGGCCATATTTAACAGATTGCCATGGAAGAAGATACAAATTCTCTGTTAGTATTATAGATCTGGACTATAAACCATTCAACAAAGTACAAAAGTGGCATGATGTAGAGCGAGAAATGTTAAAGGCTTACAGGGAAAGAGAACAATCACACCGCTGTGGACACCTTAGTGCTTCAGTATGATAAAAGCTTTTACAAGGTCCTTGCGTACACCCTAGTACTTCAGTATGATGAAAGCTTTCACAGGGTTCTGTACAATATTGCTTTAATGCATTTTAAAATAGCAATTTGTTTTTCATGGTTGTTAGTGTGGAACCTTTGTTTATTCTACAAAGCCTTTTTGCTGGTTGTATGCATTTTTTCCATTTTGTTCCAATGGATTATTTTGTTCATTGTTAGCATAAAGATTTGTATTGATCTTGTTTTCTGTGTGGTTATGTAACAACATATAATGTTGGATTGTAGATTGTGTGTTATGAATCTTATTAAGAATATTGATTGCTAAACTTTATTTTACATTTAGTTTTTTGTCATGCATAACTAAATAGATAACATTTGTATTTAAGAGTTTTATATTCTTGCATTTTTGTAACACAAAAGACAAGTTTCAGTTATCTAATCATGCTTGTGTGTAGTATTGGGCTTCCTGATGCAAAAATATCTGGTTTCCATGACGATGGCATCTAGTTTATAAAAGGGAGGTCATTTTCCACCAGATCCTCTTTTAGTGTAATTTATATCTTTTACAAAGGAAACTGGTTATAATATGAATTATTTTAAGAGTTATTGTGATATATTTTTATCAATATTTAAATGTAGTATGTATTTTTGCCTATTTGAAATCCTATTGATTGTTGTTACCGGTATTGTTGATATGTGATACATGTACTTTTTATCAGAGCTTTTCTTGTGTAAACTATGTTTTATACAACATTCATTCTTCTATAAATTATTGGTGCTACTTGTGACTTCTCTGTTGTGTAATCTAAGGTATTCATTTGTTTTGCTCAAAGTTCTGTCCACAGAATGCTTGAATCTTAATTTAAGGGTATCTGGTAATGTTTCTCTCTGTTATTTAAAACAGAAAAAATAGGTTTTCAAAATCTGTATGTATTCATCATGTGAAACTGATATTTATTCAATTTTATTAGAATTTTAAAAAAGTTATAAATAATGAAATCAAATTCAAGTCTTGAGATAGTGAGAGAATTTTGTGTTGGTTTCAAATTTTGATCGTCTCTGTTATATTTATGTTGACCACATTGTCTTTAGGTTAGTTTGTGTTGTTGGGTTGATGTCTCATTGATGTTTAGTCCAAACCTCACATTATTTCTTACTTCTTTTTATTACCACTGAGTTGGTACAGTGTACTATAGTCTCATTGTACATTGTATTAGGAAATGCTATCAGTTTGGATTGTTATTCTTAAAAGATAAAAGCTCTTTTTTTGCAAAGGAAGGTAACTCACACAATATTAATCTTAAAATGACAGAACATAAAGTTACAGGAATATGGAAGCATTCCACCATCTTGGATTGCATGTGACTACAAATGATGTGAGAATGATTTTACAAACATTAGCAAATTTTTATACACAAATAAATTTGTTTGGCTTTTCATTTGAATGGAAAAAAATTATATGATATTATATGACAATAACTTTTTTTACAAATTCAAAACATTGAGAGTGGTTCAAAAAATTAAAAAGTCTTTTCCCTCTCAGTGCTCAAAAGCATTTTTTGATCTTTCTAGTCACATAAATGTGCCTTGTGAAAAATCCTTTACAAATACGTAATTTTTGCACAGCTTTTAGCTTGATGCTAAGTATAATGGTGTTTACTTTTATTATACTTTTGAAAATAGCAGGAAATAATCTACAATTCTGCGAAGTATGATAAAAATTGCTTTTTTGTTAATACTCCCATTTTAGATTAAAAGACTAGGGTCATTATTCTAGGAAGTTATTATTGTTATTTAATAGATATTGCATATATTTTTTATACCCCACAGAAAAAAGTTCCGTAGGGTATAATGTTTTCGACCCGTTCGTCCATCTGTCGTCAGTCCTGTTCTTATCGCAACGCCTCGAAAACACACAACAGAATTTCATGAAACTTTGTAGATGTGCATATCGACAGGAAATTTTTTTCTAGGAGTAATGTCCTTTTGAACTTAGAATTTTTGCCTTTATGTACTGTTGCAACAGTATGTCAACGCAACTCCTCTGAATCTACACAACAGAATTTCATGAAACTTTGTAGATAATAAGAACATATTTTTTGTATTTCTTTAAATTTAAATTTAGGTTATCATATTTGCTTACATCCACTTCATTTTAAGTTTGGTGGATAGTTGTCTCATAGGCAATCATACCATATCTCTTTATTTTTATACTATGTAGATGATATGCATATCGACAGAAAATTATGCCCATTTGAATATAGAATTTGGACCTTAATATACTACTGCAACAGTTAGTCATTCCAACTCCTCTAAATCAACACAACAGAATTTCATGAAACTTTGTAGATAATTAGGACATACTATGTAGATGTGCATATCCACAAGAAATTTTTATCAGTTGACTTTTGTAGTAGTTATGAGTCTTTGAACTTAGGATTCTGGTGATATTTTGTTTGCCCAGTGACAAGTGGGGGCGTGGGGTATGTGAGTGTGCTCACAAAGGTTCTTTAATTTCAAATCTATCAATATCTCAGTTAATAGAAGCATAACCAACATGCATTCTATTTCATTGTCTTTATACCTTAAACTTGTATATTTTTATACAAAGCTTGCTGAAATGATGATGTTGATACAATGAATATAGATTTTTTCTTTAGTTGAATGACCTTGTTTCCAATCATAATTAATATGTTTATGTTAGAAGTATTTTCAAGGACCTAAGACTCAATGACAATTTATTTATTTAGTTGTATATTTATACTGTTTTAAGTGTGATTCAGAAGTATTTGTCATTTCACTAGTTAGATAATTGTTCAATTATATACTTGTTTTTATGTTAAAAGTATACAAGTTCTAGTCATTTGAGATATATAATGTCTGAATCTTTGTTGATGTATAAATCATTTAATGATAATCTGAAAGAAGAATCCAATAAAAAGCATTGCTTAATATATTACATGCACTATGTATGCTTTTGGTGTTATGTTTTAGTTATTAAACTATTTTTTAACTCTTTTTCTAATTTTATTTCTTTATCAAATAAATGTCATCAGGTACCTCATACAACTTATTTTCCATTTGATTAATTTCAGAAATAAAGATGAATTTGTCAAACTTGATTCACATCTGAATATTCAAAATTAAAATAAATTGTTGGAAATTCTGCTATAAAGGGCTAAAATTGAAAAAAATAACTGCATCAAAAGTTGGTCTACATTATATAGTCATCACCAAAGTAGCAAGAATTATTTTGTTGAGAATATGAACTAGAAAGCATGTATTAAATTAGTTTAGATTTTTACATGGGTTGATGTAATATTTTTAATCTATATTTTCAGTTCTTTAATATGGATAGGTTTATAAATGAACAATATTAGACTGACAATGATTAACTATAGTAATAAAACTTGAATCAAATGCAATAACAAAGATTTACATGCAATAAAATGCTATTAAGTGTAGATAACCTTTTCATTGTGGTATTTTAACATAGTAAATTAACTTCGTTGACTTATACAGTATCAAATAATTACATATCTTAATGCAAAGTAAACTTTTGTTATCTGGCATTACTGGCAATGGCATTGTAAAGTTTATGAAATTTATGATTTTGAAGGTTAAATTTTATTTTGACCTTTTGATCTCAGGTGTTGATTTTTCATTCAGACTTTAATGATCAAATTTAACACTAAAATTTCCAACACCCAATGAAAAGTTCAGAAGATTTCAATTCTAATGATTTCCTATAATATTGAATTTTGTTTTAACATATTTGCTTAAGGCCTTCAATCTATCTGTATTTCAGAAAATCACCAAAAAACTGTCAAAATAGCCGCAATTTGAGCAATTAATTTATTCAAAAATGAAAATCATTATCAAAGAAAAATGTTTTGCCACAAGATTTCTTATACAAAGAAGATACAAGAGTAAAGTGGTTGCTATTATTTTACTTTTTGCTAAATTTATGTAAAAAGACTCAATTTTGGTCATAAACATCAATCCTTTTGACAGTGATTCAACAAATGTTATGTTCCATTATCCAACCTATTTTAATCATAGGAAAATAAACATTTGTCTCAAAAGAATTTACGATTAAAAATTTGTTTTGGCCAAATAGTAGTATTTGCCTCAGAAATAAGAGAAGGACATGAGATTTGGTCCTATCAGCTTCTCCATAACATTCTCCTTCTTCTTAAATGAATAGTGTACTTTAATTATCGCTCTACTACGGGTTTGTTTAACAACCACGACTATCCATGAACCTCTCTCTCGTGGTTGGTTGATCACCATTATATGTGTTCTATCCTTCAAACTATGTTATCATAGATTCCCTTAAATGTTATTAAAGTTAAGATTTCATTATTTCAGTATTTACTGTTATGTAGAATATTAAATTCTCTTGAAAGACCAAATTTAAAATTTACACATTTTTAGATAAATACAAATTTCATGGGTTAAAATTGATTAAGGTTATTTATGCAAGATGTTTAATATGTAAATTTTTACTTAGTTTTCAATATAAACTTTGACATACTTATGCAAATGCTGCATTCAATAAAATATCAGGAAGATATGGATCAAGTTTTACCCACCTGAGATTTATTGTAACATATTCTCTAATATCTGTATGTTTCTGTATACGATACTCTGGTGTGTCAAAATATTCCTGTGTCCATAGCAGAGATATATATATTGTCATTGTAACAAAAAATAATGTAATAATATCCCTACTGTCTACAAGACAAATATCTCTTCGTTGACGTCACTACTTTTAGTATTATGTGTTATTTAAATACAAAGTATTTTCTACATTGTATTAACCTATACATGAATTATTTTATCTTTTAAGTGCTGATTGAAGAGTTTGACTTTAATATATATTCTCCAATCTATCATACCAAATGTCACTTAATAACATGGTGCAGTTTACCTTCATATGTGCTAAATAAAATTTTTGCAACCTTTTACAATTTCTTTTTTGTATTTTTCTAACCATAACCAACATCAAGGTAAAATATATCACTTATCATTGATATAATGTAGTAAAAGATCATTCCTTAATGCCCTTCAGTCTTAATGTTGTGGAGAAGCTGATAGGACCAAGTTTCATGTCCTTCAGTCTTTGTGTTATGGAGAAGCTGATAGGACCAAATCTCATGTCCTTCAGTCTTTGTGTTATGGAGAAGCTGATAGGACCAAATCTCATGTCCTTCAGTCTTTGTGTTATGGAGAAGCTGATAGGACCAAATCTCATGTCCTTCAGTCTTTGTGTTGTGGAGAAGCTGATAGGACCAAATCTCATGTCCTTCAGTCTTTGTGTTATGGAGAAGCTGATAGGACCAAATCACATGTCCTTCAGTCTGTGTTATGGAGAAGCTGATAGGACCAAATCTCATGTCCTTCAGTCTTTGTGTTATGGAGAAGCTGATAGGACCAAATCTCATGTCCTTCAGTCTGTGTTATGGAGAAGCTGATAGGACCAAATCTCATGTCTCAGTCTTTGTGTTGTGGAGAAGCTTATAGGACCGAATCTCATGGTCTTCAGTTTTTATACGCCCGTTTAAGGGACGTATTATGGTATACCTCTGTCCGTCCGTCGTCAACATGTCTGATTTTAACTCAAAAACGCTTTAACCAATTTGCATAAAACTTTGGTGAATTGTTTATATCTATTGACATGAGCTCCCTTTCGTTTTTTATAAATTTTAGATTTTACGTTTCCGAGTTATGGGGTTTTATTCATTAAAAAAAGGGGGATTTTCCAGTTTTCGGACAATATTAACTCAAGAATGCTTTCACCAACTTGCAAGAAATTGTGGTGAATTGTTTATATCTATTGACATACCTCCCTTTCGATTTCTATAAATTTTAGATTTTACGTTTCCGAGTTATGGGGTTTTATTCATTAAAAAAAGGGGGATTTTCCAGTTTTCGGACAATAACTCAAGAATTCTTTCACCAACTTGCAAGAAATTGTGGTGAATTGTTTATATCTATTGACATGAGCTCCCTTTCGATTTTTATATATTTTAGATTTTAACGTTTTCCAGTTACAGGGTTTTATTCATAAAAAAAGGGGGATTTTCCAGTTTCGGACAAAAAATCAAAAATGCTTTCAGTAGTTCTTATGAAACTTTGGTGAATTGTTTATATCTATTGATGTAAGCTCCATTTAGAATTTTATAAATTTTTCATTTATCATTTCTGAG